TGTTGGCCAAGGAAGAAGATCTGTAAACATAACGTGGACATATTGGTAACATTGTGCAGATATCTCTAATTCAGCTCAACCTATGCTCCAGAGGAGAAGTTCCTCTCTCCTCTCCAAATTGGAGCTTTCTGTGATTTAACCAATGCAGGGGGGAAAATGGCCCGTTTGCTTTGCCATCATCACTACTACAGGGTAAGAGGAAGAGACTAAGGATCATTCAAGCATACGGCTTTTAATGAGCTGGTCACAGAGGCTGAGCTGTCCTCAATAAACACCAGGAGCATGTGCATGCACGCGCACTGTCGCAAAAACACACACGCATAGACACACTCGTGATAACACGCCCTCATGCTGGAATGCACGGGTACACAGACAAATGTTACCAAGCCCAAAGCAACTCTCTGTGCACTTCTCTGCAAACATTCCTCTAAGCTCACCTCATGGCTTGTCAAGGGGGCACATCCCACTTTTTGTTTTACCCGAAACCGTCACCTGGATACCAGGCAACACTTGAGTAAACACCAGCGCCCACGTCTCATCTTCTACATGGGTCAGTTTATTGCTCAGGGCTCGTGGGGCAGCTTCATTTGCACAAAGCCTGTTATCTCCCAGCATAACAACACAAATGAATAGGCTTCTGGGGATTTTCCTATAACCTCTGCCTGCGTTCAGATGAAGCAAATTGGATCAGTACAAAAAAGGAATTTTAATGTAAGGTGTATTAATCCCAAAGAGGAGTAAACTAAAACGTGAAACAGCTTCTGCTGAATCTAAACAAAATCTGGTGTTTGTTTTAGGTAGTTTTTTTTTTCACCCAGTGTTTAGTTGTTGATGGAAGGTCAAGGTAGAAACTGGGTCAACAGAGAGGAAGAGGAATTAGGACAGAGTAGAACTAAAGATCATTGGCTCCTCATCACAATCCTGCAAATAATTTACATTTCTCTATGAATGATTCACTATGAATCTCTATGATTTTCTTTTCAACAAAACAAAAAAATATCTTTTTCACCCTTTTTTTATTTTACTGTTCTGAAAATAGTTCCTAGAATGCATCATGTAGCTCAAATATTGCTTTAGACTTTAGCAGAAGAATAGTGGTACATTAAAAGGTTCTCTTGTCAGAAACACATTTAGCCAACAGATTTTTTTTCATGCGCTGCACCCCCTGGGATAAATATAATCAAAAACTGCTGTTATTTAAGGAATACTTTAAGTTTCTATGAAGAGGGACTATGTAAGGAGAAGTGAAAAAATCAATATCTAACCTGTAGTATCTACATCTCATTTTAGGCTGAATCCATCTTCTGCCTCTGCTAACATATATCAAATGTTCACCCATTCTTGTAATGTTGCAAATAATTTAAGATATTTCATGGGTTTTCCATAGATTTCTTAGAAATATGAAGAAATATGACCCATTTGTGTTTTTTTTCTCTCTAGATTGCACCAGAACAAAATTCCCTTCTCAATAGATACAAAGATATATATTTTTTACTTTACAATAACATTGCTGAATCAGCATTGTACACATGACGTTTTTTTTTTTTTTTTGTAAGGACTTATCCTATGAGTGTATTAGCCTCATCAAGTCTGAACAGGTGACGGAAAGCTGCAAACGTTTCAGTCAAACATCCAAAGATCAGCTTAGAACACAGTAGAACTGGTAAAACATCTCTTATTTCTCTGCAAATCCCTAAATCTGTGTTAGTATCAACTGGGTCCTTATTTGTTTCTCTTCTCTTGTTTCTTGTTTGTATTGACCATCACCACTGCACCACAGGTTTCTGAACCCTTCTCCTCTTTAACTTACTGTTTCCTTTTTTTCCGGAAAACTAGCTGCATGGTGTGAAAGAAGAGCACAAAATAAAACAGTCTCATGTTTTTTTCTATGTATTACTAACTCTCTACCAGCCAGTCAGGGCTAATTTAGCTTCTTCTTGAATTTCCATCAGCCTAACCTGCAGTTGGCAACATCTCTTCGTTTTCAATAGCAATGTAGATATGCATTGAAGGGATGACCTCTTAGATATCTTAGATTTTCTATAACATGTCTTTTCACTGATAACATCAAATTTGCAGACATTTTAAACCTCTAATTTAAAGCTATTTTGTTTCTACTGTTTGTATGGCTTAAATACCATATTACTGCCCTCCTGTTCTCTAAAAAACTCTAGGTTTCATTAGAGATAAAGATAATTGACTAAGTTAGAATGAGGGAAAAATCAAGTTGAACTTTCACGAAGTTCATCATGACAGGAATGACTAGAAGACGAGACAAAAAGTTCATCATTTATGATGAACAAGTTCTTTTTTTAGACAAATGTCGAACGTTCAGAGACCTCAGCTGTGAGTTACAACATCAGTGCTCCTTTTATTTCAACCTTTTTAAACTCCAAAACATTCCTTTAAAACAAACAGACCAAAAGCAGAAAACACCTGTTAACAGGATTTAAATGATTTTGAAAACAGCAAGATTAAATCAATAAAGCAGCTTTTTACACAGATAGTTACTTTTTTGATTTAGGTCTAGGTCACTCCATGAAAAACTCTGATTCTGCCAATTGAAATTGTTGTGACTAATGTCTGGTGCAGACACAGCTGGTACTCAGAAGTACTTCAAACAAACCGGCAGGCATTCACCCATGCAGGCAGCTTCTTTAAAACAGGAATGTAAGATACAACTCACTATAAAATTGTAATAATTTTGCACTTTTGCAAGTAATGGCAATGTACTGCAATAAAAAAAAATGTAAATCCCTTTATTGTCCCCCAGTGGGAAAATTCACTGCATTTTAAAGGAATAGTACAC